AATGATTAGGCTTTTATTCATCAAGCGTTGCCTATAGGGGAGAATTATTTTAGAGACCTAGCACTCTTCTATCTCTTTTTTTTCTATCGTGGTTTTGTATTGCTCTTTTGGGCTTATTGTTCTGTGCCCACAAAAAATTTAATTTTCTCTCGAGAAAGTCCGTTTTTTAGACAAATCTCAGCTTTCCGTAAAAGTTGGGGGGGGAGGGGGGTATTGGGAAAACCTATGGTTATTTTCGAACTCAGCGCTAAAAATGTTATTGTGATCAACCATCATTATTGGAGGGCTTGTAGGACAAGGCGCATAAGTAAAGTTTCTGCTATTTCGAGAAATACGTGTTTGGTGTATCGAAATTTGGATCCTTATGGCGGAAAGAAAGTTCAAACCGACTTTTTGTTGCTTGAAAATTGGAATTTTGGAGTGAATTTTTCACAGATTATGCATTAAGACTAGTTTTACTTGAAATCATTTCTTTCTCAAAAACTGCACACGCAGTTCTCATCAGCACACTCTTTCTGATGTTGAACGCTGTCGTGGTAAAGTATGAAACGCCGTATGAACCTTCAGACGTCGCCAAATTTCCTTTGATGAAATACAAATTCGTCGGAGAAGCTGTAAATATTTTTCTTCAAAATTTTCTGACTATTTTGTTCTCTGTTTAATCTAAAATATCTGGAAATTTAAAAAAAAAAAAATGTACGTAAATTTCGTCAAAAATACATTTCTCAACCGGGGAACTTTGACAACTATTGAGTGTTCTTACGGCGTTCTTCCTTAGCCCGGCAGTATGTCTCGGGCGTCCTACCGCTTTCAGTATCGGTTTCAAAGGTCTCAATAGCCGTGAAATATGTCAACAGAGTCAGCTGTCCCATGAAAGATTAACGATCCGTTTGATGTGATTTTATTCACTCATTTCTGCACGATTTCTCCTCAAGCCTGGGCTTCTATCTTGCCAAGAGCTCTTCTCCTATTCAATGGCGTCGAGTGCTTTGCGATACATCGATTGATCTGCCATTTAAACCTATAGAGAAGGATCGATTAACAGGGTGTTTGCAATGAACACCTTAATGATCGATTCTTTAACATAACTTTAAATGGAGAGATATCGATAATCGATTATTGACGCCTCGTCGCTGCTCTTTTTCTTGTTTTGATTTTTTTCCCCGTTTTTTTAGGGTCACACGACGCGCCAAAAGCGCAAGCAAATGACGCCGCGGCTACGGGCAAGCGTCCAAAAGAACCCACGACGTAGCGTGCTTCTCGATAAATCGATTGATCTGCCATTTAAACCTATGGAAAAGGATCTATAAACAGGGTGTTAGAAACGGATACCTCGATAATTGATTCTTGCCATAGCTTCATATGGGGAACCATCGATAATCGATCATTCATGACTCGCCTCTGAACGGAACCGATACACAGACCAACCTTTGAATTCGAAATGAGATGGAAAATAAGAAGATGAAAGAGGAATCACCTAAGATGACATTTTTATAAAAGAAAAGAAAGGGAAGCTCTCATCTAGGAAGTTTAATTCGGGCGCTTTATAAAAGTATCTTCAATTCCAGTCTCTTTTCAAAAGGAAGAAGGGAGATGTGGCCTTTACTTTCCAATTGCCACAGTGCAACGAACATATTGAGATAATTTTGAAATTGCAGCATTTTTACATCAATCGGTTTGTATATCCCGATGTAAACAATTAAGTCCATGTGTTTTAGAGAATAAGGCGCTTTGAATAAAAAAAAAACAAAAAAAAAAAAAAAAAACTGATTTCAAATTTATAGCAATAAATCTCAATGAGAGGAGCTTCCTCAACCAGGAATTGACAACATACGCAACTTTGCAATAAAGTAGCAATTATTTTACCATGTTATTGCTGTTTAATGCAATCTCTGGTATACTTGGGTTTAAAGACACGCATACTTCAAAGTTTCTCAATTTTTTCCAGAGAGATACCATCGTAGTGATCTTGTTCCGTGCAGAGATTTCATTTTATCTCATTTGAAGTTCAGAGCAAAATATTCATAAACTCTATAACCAAACTGGTTTTCAATTGAACTTTTACTCTTCTCCAGGTTGGCTGGGTAGCACGACTTTCATTCATGTGCTGGTTGTTTCTGCCGTGCTAAAAAAAAAAACCCGTATGAGCCTTCAGACGTTGCCAAATTTCCCTTGGTAAATCACGAATTTTCGGGGAAATTTGTAAATATTTTTCCTCCAATTTTTCAAATAATTTTGTTTGCAGTTTCACCTATGATTCCTGAAAATTTCAATGGAAAATTTCCATAGCTCTCCTCAAAAATGAAAATTTTGTCGAAGGAAATCTGACAACTCTCGAATGTTCATACGGTGATCTTAGCACGACAGATTTGTACGTATACCATTTCGAAAACGAATATGGTTTGTATAACTTGAGAATGACAGATAGGGCGACCCCTAAAACTTAAGTACAAAGTTATTGCACTAGTCCTATAGGTATGAGCAAAAAGCACAAGAAACCGGCTACTCGGCAACGCGTCTATAAATATTGATTGGAGTAGCGAAGCGAGTGCACACGTAAAACAGCGCGCCATCTGTCGCGTAGACACAGGCACTAACCTACCTCATTAACGACACGAATTATTTAACACGCTCGCTACTGTTTCATGCTTTTTGCCCGAGCTGCGGCCGGATGTTTATTTTTTGAAGCAGCAGTAAAGAACTCTTTCGTTGCATTTGAGCAGCATTTGGACGTACTTCTGTCAAACGGAACTTTGTGCATTAAGGCATGAGCCCTGAGACCCATAAGAATATATGCATAACAAGGCTCACGTCGTAATGCGCATAGTTCTGTTTGGCAGAAATACGTCCATTTTGCGTGTGAGAACGGAGCCATGATGTGTTTCCTTAATAAAACGGCATTGTAATGGTGAGTGAAAGAATGTATCTTGTTGACGCCAACAAATGGGGAAAAAAACTTTGTTTGGCAAATAGCTTAGGCCGTGCTTCACAGGAATGGAAAATTTGGGCGAAAAAAATGTATGTTGATCGGAGAGTTCTCAATGCGCTGAGTTCATAGTAGTTTTCATACTTTTTTACTGAAATGAGAAATTGTAGAAAAATAGATTTAAAACTGAGAAAATGTGGCACTTTGTCACGTCATCTGGCCGCACTTCCCATTTACACGCATGGACTTCGACAGAGTAGATTATTCAGTCATATTTTTTCCGATAATTTTTCAATTTAGAAACCAAGGATATCCTTATGCTCATAACTCTCTTGGTCTAGTTTCATCTTTAACATAAAATTCACCAGGTATCAGACACCTCTAAATTCTCCATTCATTCAAAAAAGGCATTTTACGCCCACAAAACGATGGGTAAGATCACCCTTTGTAATTTTTTAAGCACCTCCTATCTTTTTCATGGAACAACCCCACATGGTTTAACTTTTAATCTGTGGAGGTTTATGGAGGCCTATAACTTAGCATCATAGAAAGGACAATTTTCAAGAATTTCAAGTCAAATTCAACGGTGTCGCATTGAAATTATTTGCTCGAATGGGATGACAATGATAAATCCACTGAAAAATGTAGTTAGTCTATCATTTTCCTCTTTAGTCTATGACAACTTTCCGTTTCAACCAATAGGATCGCTCCATGTTCCCTGTGTCTCCTTTATCAATCAATGTCAATAGTCAGCCCACCAGGATGAGCCTCGAGTTATACAACAGCATGTAATAACCGTGGCTCAGCACAGAAATGAACTTATACGTCTCTGTCCCATAAAACGAGAGCTTGGATGACAAAATTTTGATGGTGGAAAAGTGATTTTTCATTGTATTCACACAAAGTTAACTAATTATGCAAATCCCAAGCGAATTGAGTGCACCTGTCACACGCGTGCTTCGTTTTATTTATGGCTCCCCAAAAAAAAGTGGTTGTCCGCTTCTTTTCCTTTTTTAAGTGTCAGTATTGTGTTTTTTTGGGTGAAGATACTTTTGATATTTGATACTTTTCCTCACCTAAAGGTCAATGCCAAGAGAATATAGAACTCGGGACTCGAGGTGCGCATTTTTAATTCTCATTCTTATCGAAAACCCTCCTTTGGTTTGACTGTAGATCTGGTTTATGTAGGACAGAATAAAAATCCCATTCTGAATTTTAGATATCACAAGTTTTAAATAGGATTGCTTCCTAAGAATCTAGACATTTTTTTCTATTTTACTATTCTCCGAGCGAGATAACTAAAATTTTTAGGAATCCACATGAGTGCATCGGAAATGTTTGATATTTTTAAGAATTTTATCGAACAAAAATATTTTGAAATATTCCTTCCTGCACGATACGAATCACTCGAGAATGTTAATTCTCCGATGCTAAGGACGCTCCAACAGCTGCACTTTGATCTCATTCTTCTCCTAGCACATTGCGCAATAATATTGCGTATTTCGTTGAAGGGCTAAGTTTCATTACTCGTCGTGATGGTAGGGAACTCAACCGAAGCGCCTTCAGTTTATTGCACATGCAACACGCACATCCCTCGAACACGAATAGTTACATTCAAATGTTGTTATCAACATCGCCACCCGTTCGATATTTCCATCAAAGGTGCTGGTGCCTTTCCAACATTCTTACGATTTCTTCCTTTTTGGTCTCCAGTGCCTCCAATCTTCCTCAACCAATGTTATAATTTCTCATGATTGATAAAACATTGAAACTTCAAGATAAATATTTCGTGAATTCTCAGGAAAATTTTAAAATATTTTTCGAAAATAAAATAAAAAGGTATGAATTTGATTTTTTTTGTTATTTGTGGGTGTCATACCCAGCTCTTGTGAATATGTTTCATATTTTTCACAGCTTTGCGAAATTTCATGAAATGTTTCACATAAATGTCAAATCTTTCAAATTGTTCATTTCCCTAGCGCGACCCTGTCCTGCACCCCAAATAATAAATGAATAGCTTCACGCGGGATTTAAACCGCCCCTTAAAATCCGGCTATATTCACTGGTCTCTTACCTTCATGGTGGCTGTTTTTGAAATGGCTCCCAAGAACACTCAACACACAGAAGCGTCACCGACACAGAACTAACACCACGCCCTCGCAGCTCGCTTATTTTATATCCGAATTCAAACTCAAAACCGTTGAGAATGGAGCGGCCTGAAAAAAGAAAACATAATTGACAATCCCACATCCACCTGGACCAAAGTATGGAGGGAGGGGCTGCCACGGCGGGATTGGAAAATAACTTATTTTATTCACCTGGAAAAGGGGAGTGGGGAGGGGGCATGGAGACGGATTGCGCTGGCGAAAATGGACGCGATGATAGAAAATTCTGCCCTGCCCTTCTTACGCAGAGGCGCAAGGCCGGTCACCACACCGGCCAGAGTCCTCGTGCTAAGCCAAAACGCCGTATGATCATTTCTATGTTGCCAAATTTCTTCTAATGACAATGGCGCTCACATTATATAGTCACCTTTCAGCCAAAGTATCACAACCGCCATGCGACGCCTCAAAATTTCCGCCGTCATTTTATTTTTTAGAGAGAAATTGATGATTGAATCTGTTTGAAAATTTCCCTGAATTCCATCGGGAGCACAAAAAATTCAGTGACATTTTCAGACAGCTTCGTAGAACAATTTTTCTGTAAAAAAATAAAATGGCGGCGAAAATTTCAAACGTCTTATAGCGCTTATGATACTTTGATCGGCAGGTGAAGACATGTCGTACTTGCACATATTACATTGCAACCTTTAAAAACATTGTTAGAGTAAAAAAGATGGATGTTTTGAGCTGCCTGAAGCTCATTTTTAGTCGCAAACGCAAAAATGTTGACATTTTTTTCAGTATCAAACTGACCCTAGTTTTGCCGTGCTAAGAAAAAACGCCAAATGAACATTCCTATGTTGCAAAATTTATTTTAGTAAATATTTATCTTTTCGGAAAATAAGAATATTTTTCCTTGAAATATTTAATTACTTTAGATCAAAGTGCGAACAGAAGTGTCCAAAAAACTGAATGGAAAATATTCAAAAGTTTCCCTTAGAATGTGCATATGAAGCAAGGCAATTTGACGACGTCTGGAAACTCATACGACGTTTTTCTTCAGCATTGTAGAGTTGCTTTGTCGCAACCCCTCAATTGGGCTCTATTCCAAAAACTTCTGTCAAGTTGTCCCATGATTTTTCACTTTTTTCCTCAACTGGAAATTGACAAGTCGAAAAAAAAATTAAAAAATCGAAGGTAACTTTCAGCCTCCATTTCTAAGGTCCTAGCTCTGTTGAGTGATCGGGTGATATCACTTGGGACCAGATCGTCACTCAATTTTTTTAGTGAATTTCTTCGTTATTTGCAGCCAAAAATAACATGCACACTAAGGAAAATTTTATTTCATGAATTGCACTTTGTTCATTCAAGAAGTCAAACTTAGAGCATCCCCAATTTTGTGTTGATTTTAATACTGTTAGCCCTGAATTACGCGCAGAAACACGTGGGAAAATGGGGGCACCCGTGAGGCAACCGAGGCTTGGCTTACTTTTTGTTTCAATTCCAATATTAACCCAATTATTATCAGTATTATTTTTCCTCTGTGTATGACGGATCAAAGCGTCTTGCCTGTAAGTGTATTTGTTTAAAAAAAAAAAAAAAAAAAAAAAAAAAAAATTCTCATCTCTTTGTTTCTTGGTCGAAGGAACATAACTACATTCCAAGGTTGCAAAATTGACTGAAACAATTCAATTTTTTACGAGACTATACCTGAGGAATTCGTGTTTAAATATTTTTGATTATTGCATGAGATCCGCGGAAAAATTGGTGAAATGTTTGGTTAGAGACGCTCAAGATGCTCTTGGTAAAATTGAAATTTGCGAGGAGAAATTTGGCCATCTTGAACGCTTTTTCGTGAGAAGAAACTACGATGTCTAGTCTTATTTTGGCATCTTCTTTTATTTTGCGTCACCTCTGGTATTAAAAATGTTTGTGGGCACATTTAAACCGCATGCTCTTTGAATTGTCAACTATTTTCTCTACCAAGTGAATCTGAAAATTCTGAGGAAAAATGTGTCTATTTCTGTTCCACAAATGAATATTTTATCGATTAAGGTTTGGCAACATTCGAATGCCCATACGTTGTTCATGCTCAGAATGGCAGCACATCACCCCATACCGCGTCACTGCCTAAAGCGAAGATACGAGTACCCCCATGTCAATGAATAACCACTATCGGTTCACTATCGTGTGCTTTACGATAAATCGATCGATCTACCATTTAAACCTATGGAAAAGGGTCGATAAATAGGGTGTTCACAACAAACACCTTAATAATCGATTCTTTACCGCAGCCTCAAATGGGGAAATGTTGATGATCGATCATTCACGCCTCACCACTGGTCCAGATCGGGTATTACTACCTAAATTTCAGCTTGAGCCCTCAATGCCAAGGTCATGCACCTTGTTTGGAGCTCACGTAGAGGTGTAGATGATACTATTTGTTCGTCGTGTCTTCGTCCACTCGGGGGTCTATAAATAAAACATTGAGGACTCCTCCTTCATGTCGGAGCAATTAAGAGTCTCCCACTGAGCATTTGAAGTTTAACGGAGTAAATAACTGAATTCTTTCCTTTTAAGTCGTTTCTGAACGCTGATGTCGCCTCATTCGCGGGAAAATCTCGAGGCTGGATTCGAGGAAGGGTGGGAAAAATTATGTGTCTCGAAGTGCGATGCGATTTTGGTGGCTCTTTTAATTGGTCGCCGGGTTTATTTTTACCGGGCAAAAAGCGGACAATGGTCGGAAACAGTTTCCTCAGCAGTCGAGTTTTGAAGGAGTACAGTGGTCGCATTTCATGCAACGGAAGGACGTTGAGATCGTTTTCGCCTCATCCATGAGTAGTGTCTTGATTTTGTTGTACTTTTTATCTTTGATACAAACCTCAATGTGTGGATTGTATTGCATTTGCAAAAAGGAACCAAGAGTATTCCACTATCGCTAAGATTGTGCAACTTTTTTTTACCTTGTAAGTATAAACTGATCATCTAAACAAGTTTTATCTTTACTCCCAATAAACCATTAATTCAAGATGAAAATTACCTTTGTAAAAAGGGTCGGACTGGCTCGCATCTGAGGGCGTAGCGTAGACCCTTGGCTCGTTAAAGGGGTGTAATATGATATTTCCTGGTAGGGCATCTACTCTACGTGGAGAGGGGTTCAGAAAATTTTGGCAAAGCAGCACAAGTTTACGCTATTTTCAGATTCAAAGTTTATTACAGAGTAAAAATTGCAAAATTGAACTTATTGAAGTAACCGACAGACTTCTGAAATGAAAGAAAACGTAAAAAATTAAAGCCACTAGACGCATCCAAGCACCATTATTTTCAAAAGAACCGAGCCAGTGCTGCGATTTACACGACCTAAGTCGTGGGTCTGCAAGTCCATCCCGAAAAAGAATCGGACAAGAACCTTAAAAGAGAGAGAAAACGAGTAGGTATCAACACAGCCGAAGACAGGAAGGACGTATTCGGGCCTCTTTCTCAACTTTCCTCCCGAATCTGATCGACATCTCATTGACTACATATAGCACAGTATTGAGAGCTTACGCTTCGCGTCATCGCGCCTTCAATTTTTCAGATGCAGCACGGACGTCCATCAAGTACGAATAGTTGTATCTCTGCGCCGTCGTTAACGCGCATCTTTTCCCTCACTTTATTTCCATTTTGTGTTTGTTTGCGTTTGTCTTATTCGTAATGGTGCTTCAAACTAGTAGCATAGAGCAGAGCATTGCGAGTTCAGGACTCATATATGTCATCGCCAAATTTCCTTTGATAAAACGCAAATTCCCCAGTGATTTTATGAATATTTCCCTCCCAATTTTCCAGATGATATAGTTCGCAATTTTACCTAAAGATTCTGAAAATTTAAAGGAAAAATATTCATAACTTTCCTAAAAATAAAAATTTTATCGAGGGAAATCTGGCAACTCTCGAATGTTCATACGGCGCTCTTCCTTAGCAAGGCAGAATTCTGGTTCCGATTCAGAAACGGAAGCTTATTTTATAAGAGGTGAAACAGATTGAAAAATAAAAGCTAAAGTAGCACCCACTGAAATATGTATATTTTACGAACGAAAAAAGAAAACCTAGGCACATTCTTTCGGTAGGAAATATCGTAAGCATTAGATTGAATATGCACACGTCTTCCAATTCGGCACCCATGTCAATGATCATTCAGGATCTAAAATCAAATTCCGCACAAATCAAGACACCTCCTCCACCCGTATTCACAGCTGCCGTTCTTCCTAGCAAACATGTCGTATATTTTGCATGTTTTATTGTGCGTGTCGCAAATTTGGCAGTGGCGACTCCGAGAAACTCGTCCTGCGGATTTTGTGACGCAGTCATCGGCCGAAGAATGAAATGAAACTGGCGAGCTGAAATCAGATTGGCTGGAATTTTGCGACATTGACGGCTTTATACTCCCCACCAAGCGGTCCCATAAGTCAATGTACTCTGTAAAGATGCAAAGACCTGTTTAGTTGCCGTTTCTTCTGTTGAAGACAAGTGTATTTTTGGGCGGGAAGCATCTATTTCAAGACGTCGTTGAAATTCATGCTTAGGTTTTTAGTTCAAGGAATAAATCAGGTGGACGCAACAACACGGAAACGGAGATTGAATTCAAATGAAGCCGTTAGAGTATTTTATTTCAGTACAGAAAAGCACTGCCGTGACAGCGAAGAGAGCAGTAAATGCAAAAATGAAATTTTGAGAAAACGGGCTCAGAAACGTCTAACCGGAAAATTTTACTGAAAGGAGCCTCCGTTCTTTGTCAAATTGCCATTAGTCATCTGAAAGACTCTTAAAAATCGTTTGGATGATTAAAAATTGACAGATTTTATTTCAATTTCATGGAAAGGGTATTTTTCATTTTTATCCTAGGCAATTGTTAGACAAGACTAGTGCTATCTTCTGCATGCTTTCGTGGTTGCGTTTTGGACACACATCAAACACTTTTTCAGGTTGGAAATTGGTAGAAGAGGATGACACTTTACTTGAAAGCACGGCTTTCATTCGCTCTCTGGAGGAATAATGTCACTTTCTGCTGTATTGCTTGAAACTACGTCACTTTTTGCGCACTTACGACTTTTTCGTAATTCTCGTTTTTATATCATTAAGATGAATTTTGCTGTTTTAGCTATTTCAGTGATTTCATCTAAAAGACATTGGACGAATTTTGAAGGAAACTCATTTCGAAAATTTGACACTTACTGCTCTCTTCGCTATCACGGCAGAGGAGTTCATCGATTCTTCTGTAATTTTCATCATTTTCCACACTAATTTTTAGCTATCATAAAGATTTATTGAGATCATCGTATGATCCTGAAAATCCTGATATCTTGATGTGATGAACGTTGTTGAGTATTTTCCCGCTTCAGCGCTGAGAAATACAAATCAAGGTCCATCTCTTACAAAATACATGACCAAAAATTGCCAGGGCTGCTGTAGCTTTATACTGCAAAATTTACCACTTGATTCGCCGTTATTTTATATTTGTGGACTGCACTACCAACCTCATTTTAAACTGTATCAAAAATGCACGCACAGTCAAAGACTTGAAAACGAAGCGCTGACAGCAAAAAATGAATTTCCACCGCTGGAACCATGAGGTTTACGTATGTTGATACCGTAATGGATAAAAACTTATTTTTGGGTGTAAAAGTTCATTTAATTTGACGATGTTGAAGATTTTATTAGAGTGCATGTTATCGCTCTAATTTCATCGTGGCTCACTCAGCCCGACGACTTGCAAGCGGTTCTCACGTGAATATATATTATCGTGCCCTACTTATTTTAAATAGATTCGCCTGCTTAGTGTTCCGAATTTGCGAAAGCTACAATTATTTTCTTCGTACAACTGAACTTCAATTACTTAGCCACGGCGGAAAATTTGTACCCACTGTTGGTTGATATAATTGACTATTGTAAACGACAGAATATTTTTGTCTCGCAAATCTTTGAGATGACGAATCTAAGATAAGAATCTGTTTATGGAACGTAAAACTTTTTTAGGCAGACGTGTTCAAATGAGTCCAGTTGAGGTCGCTCTACCACATACTCTTACCTCCATCAGAGCTATACGGGTAACGCCCACGCAAAAATCAGCCCGTTTGTAATAATTACTTTGTCACGCTTAATTCGACTTTTTTAAAACACTCGACTTAGCGGATGTGAACTGTGCGCACGACCCGCAACTGTCAAAACAAGTGACAATAGGCACAATCTTTTCTCTCCGCCGCGCCGGGAAGGAAACTTGGGTTCCAACTCTCATCACTCCGGTTTTCGCGAGTGTTGTCGGGGCATGATCGGAGATTGCTCATCAGCGAAATTTACACTGCGAGTCTGGGAAATCGTGAATTGAGTGCTAAAATGCGCATCCTGCGTTCGGAATTTTAAGTCGTTGAGGTTGGGTGGGGTTGGTAACAATGCTCTGTACCTGTGCGACTACCACGCCACGCAACATGGATAATAATTACAGATGAGGCAGGACATAAGTCACACCAATTCACTGAATGATGCGACGCATTAGCGGCGAGCAATTATTACAGGCATAGTCCATGCCAAATGAACGCAACCGTCTGATTGCACGGTCTTATTTTGGAAAAAATGAGTTGGGAGTAGTTTTGTATTCAACTGGTTATAATGTTTGCTCCGATAAAAATTACAGGTCCAGAAAAAAAAAAATTCCGAAAGTGGAAAAAGTCGTTGAACCTTGTCCTCAACATTGAAGAAGATTCTCATGAAAGATTGAACTTCAAACCTCTATTCTTCAATCCATACTTAGTTAATTTTGTTGCGTTTTGGCCCATTTTTTGTATAAGTTGTATTTTTAGGACAGTGTAATCGGAAAAAAAGAACGCCTTAACATTTCATGTAAATAGTCTTAATCACGCAGTATACCTAAAAAAAGTGGGAATGTTGCTTGATATCCTTGTAAAAAAAAGAAAAAAAAGAAAGAAGAATTAAAATTAGACAAAAGATGTATTTAGGCTGGTCAGTTCACCATTAAATTCAACTGCAGAGAACATGGATTCTCGAATGGTCGACCAGTGGTATCACTATGAATGTCGCCATTATTTGGAGCAGAATAATAACATTTTACTGAACGTAAAGAGGTGATTTTAACGCATTAGCTGCTCGCCTACAATTTCTGGTGTAGGCAACAACAGCTCTCGCTTGGTCGATAGTAATATCGTGAAATGGCATGCTTACTCAGAACAAAAAAAAATATATTTTTTTACCGGACGATTGGAGGTTTTTACTTAAACTTCATGTCAGTTTTGCCCTCAATTATGAGTGCAGGAACACGAGCTTCCACCTGGTTGAATAGTAGTTTCAATGTAGATTTGGTACTCATTTGAAATAAACACAAAACATTTCATTTTACAGAATAAGAAGACGTGATTATAAGACATTGGAAGTACAATTTATGAACAGAGAATATTTTTCTTATGAGAGAGCTTTTTCTCAATTTGGGCTGAAAATTTGGATTTGGACCGAGAATACCCTCTAATATCCCCCAGAATAAACTGAAAGCGATTCAGTTTGTTTTGGTGTCAGGAAGGGGCGTGAAGTTAAATTTTGATCGTACAATTTTGAGTTCCAAACATAGCATGTTGAAATTTCAAACACATTTTTCCCAAAAACTACGCCTTTCAATTGTTTTCAGTCCGCTATTAAATTGTTGAATATTTTTATCGAAGCACGTCATCCTAAAGTTAGGTTTAAAGTGTGCGTGTCAAATTTTCGGCATGGAAATATTGACCGTGTGAAGAAAAAAAGCCTAAAATGACCATCGATTTGGTTTCTCCTTCCTTTAGGGAGGAGACGAAGAGTGCGCGCAGACACAGTAACAGTGGTGCAAGGGGTATTCAAGAAATGAGGGCTGAAGGAAAATTTATAGCGCCGGACGTTAGCAGATACAAAGAAGGCAGTTCGAACTGACAACGTCGCTTTTTCGCGTGGCCGGAATTCGCGACTCTTGCAAATATTATAGTGACAACCATGGTCATCCGTCACATTGTTTCAACTTATAAAACCCGTTCAAACTCATAAAAGTCCTCACTTTATCCCCTAATGACGTCTAATTTTGACAGTGTGCCTACGTTACCATCCTAATGTTCATTCGTTTTCGGCATATACTGGGAGACTGGGACACATTCAAAAACTCTGCTTTACAAATGAAGGCAGAGTTGCATAGTATCAAAAATGTGCTCTTTCTTATTTTCCTTAAACGAGTATTATCAGGTTTACCTATGAAGTTTGTGTCTTTTTTACATATATTTTGTATAGGCTATTTGTGCGTTTTGTGCAAAGACATATACACGGATCACGTGTTTCTAAAAGCATGGGGGCATTGGCGGATCCAGCAATTTGGCAACATAAGATTTCCTCCATTAAAATCTATGGAAATGCATCGATTCTATGAGGGACCAGGTGCTCCGACGAGAATCGATTATTTAAGGTAGATTTCACCGGAGGAAATCCGGTGTTGTCAAATTGCTAGATCTACAATTGTATGGGGAAGACGTAAAGCTGTGCTGGCGCTATGCGTATAAATGAGTGCGGGAACGAAAACAACAATAACAATATCATCCAAAAAAATCACACGCTTATTATTAACGGTAACGAAAGCTATAAACAAAAAATTAAAACAAGGAGATGGGCGCATAACTGTTGCACTGGCTCGTAAGATCAGTCATTCCATTTTTATCATGCTCTGAATTTAATGCGACACAAAAATCCTGATATGGAAATTTGGTAGATTTGAAAACGCCTTCAATTGTAGCATGATACCTCACGCATTCCGGAGAGTTTGAATAGTTGTATCGTTGCACCTTAGCAATGCGGTGAAAGATTAATATTAAATCAGTCTCCACGATATCTTAATCCGTAGCTTTGTGGATGATTTTTTATAAAATAATTAAAAATAAATACGCGGTAAGAAATGGACCCAGATGAAAGAAACTCAATTCAACAATAAAATACAAGAAAGTACAGGCCAAAATGAGTATAGAAAACTCAAATATAAGGAAAAAACATCCGAGCAAATTTCACGCTTATTATCAACTGGGACACAAGCTAAAAACAAAAAATTAAAAGAATGAGATATGCCCATAACTGTTGCACTAGCTCGCAAGATCAGTCATTCCATTTATAACATGCTCCGAATTTTATGCGACGCGAGAATCCTGATATAGAAATTTGGTAGTTTTGAAAACGCCTTCAATTGTGGCGTGATACCTCACGCTTTCCGGAGAGTACGAATAGTTGTATCCTTGCGTCGTAGCAATGCGGTGGAAGATTACGATTGAAGTAGCCTCCACCCTGGCCTTGTCGGAACTCCTTTGCCGTTATTGGAGTTTTGACCGCATAGTTTAAGTGTGCTCAAGCTAGAATTGTAATTAAGAAATGGATAATTAAAAATCACCACTCCGTAAGAAACGTAACTAAATAATAGCAACTCAAATCGAAGATCAACTGAAAGGTACCGAAAAAGTACTGAATTTTTTATGCTTATGAGGCACTGAATTTTTTGGAAAGGTACTAAAAAGTACTACAAAAGTACTTACTTTTAGCCAGCCAGTTTTAGTAGACGCAGATGCCCTGCATACTATACCATACCATACTACCGACGTGAAAATTATTCAGACATGTAAATCGATACAGATAAACATAGACATATCTGGACTTAAAAGTTTCCCTCATTTTTACCAATTTTCTTTTCGGCCTGAAATAATGTGAGGATATAATTCATAAAATTGGGCTATCGATCGACCATTGACATACTGATAATTAAATAAATCGAAAATGTGTTCCCCAATTGCAAGGTCAAAATACCTCCGATTATGTACTGATTTCTTTAAGGATAGGTAGTCAACATTTTTCTCCTCTAATCTGAGATATTTTTTAGGATGACTGAATATTATCCCTAGACAATTTAAACACCAATCTACGGTGTGACAACCGGTCTCTCACTAAAAGTGATTCGAGTGAAGTGCTCGTTATTGAAGCGATATAAACCATTTTCTGCTCCCATTTTCTTTTACCGAAAAATTCGGGTACCAAAACCAAAAACATGTTAGCACCATAGTGCCGTGCTGAGAAAGAACACCGCATGCGCCTTTAGGCGTTGCCAAACCTCCCTCGACAAATCACGAATTTTCGAGGATAGTTGTGAGAATTTTTCATCCAAATTTTAAGGAATTTCGCTAGTAATTTGATCTCAAAAGTCTATCAATTCCAATGAAAAATATTCACAACTGTCCCCGAAAATAGATATTCTCTGAGAACTAATTTGGCATCATTCGAATGCTCACACGGAATTTTTCCTCATCCCAGTAGCATATCAAGCCAGGCCCTGTCGTGACCAAAGCTCTACTTTCCGTGCAATGCTAATCAGTGACGTGGCGAGCTTTGCGATACATCGATTGATCCACCGTTTGATGGTATGTAAAAGGATCGATAAACGGTTCTCGCAACAAACACCTTAATAGTTGATTCTTTACCATAGCTTCAAATGGGAAAATATCGATATTCGATCATTCACACCTCCCCACTGTACCTAGTACTTTAGAGATAATTTTCTGATGTAATCGATTATATATCGATTGATCTACAATATGAACCTATGGAAAAGGATCGATAAACCGGGTGTTAGCGACGAACACCTCAATAATCGATTCTTTACCACAGCTTCAAATGGGAAAATATCGATATTCGATCATTCACACCTCCCCACTGTACCTAGTACTTTAGAGATAATTTTCTGATGTAATCGATTATATATCGATTGATCTACAATATGAACCTATGGAAAAGGATCGATAAACCGGGTGTTAGCGACGAACACCTCAATAATCGATTCTTTACCACAGCTTCAAATGGGGAAATATCGATGATCGGTCACTCGCGCCTCGCTACTGGTACTAATATCGTTCATGACGAATTAGATCAATGTAGCAGAAATCGTGATGTACGTATGACGCGGCGCGGCGCGGAGCTGCGACTGGTGAACGCAATTGGGTGGATGGTGCTTTGCCGTGCTAAAGAAAAACGCCGTATGAACATTTGAGAGTTGCCAAATTTCTTCGAATTGAACATGTATTTTATTTTTGAGGAAATTTTTGGAGAGTGTACCATGACATTTTCAGATATTTAAGATTAAATCGCGAACAAAATTGTCTGAAAAACTCGAAAACAAATATTCACAATTAGCCCGGTCTTGACTCTGTTGAAGGAAATGTTGCAACATTTGAAGGCTCTTACGGCGTTTTTTCCTTAGCATGGCAGTGCTGCAACCAACCTTGCCCATCTTAACGACCTGTGAACCCAAACAGATGGCGCGACGTTGATAGCTCCTAATGACACGATTCACAATTTTCCTGTTTCCGAGTGAGAATTTCGTGAATACTAATTGCCAATTTTGAACTCATGCCGAGCGATTAACTTGATAAACGGTGAAGTTTTGATCCCCCCCCCTTTTTTATTTCGGCCAAACGATTGTATCCGGTTGTTTATATTAACAGTGACTGGCCGTTTGTTTAGTTCAGTCCGATTTAGCTGCGCTCAGTGTTTTGTGAAATTGGGACCAACTCTGTCAACATGTTTTTAGCTAAGACAACTATTTTTGCGTTAGTGGTGGCCGCCGTTTTGGTCGAGGTAAGAGTGCATCGTCACTTTTCGGCTAAAGTATCACAAATGCCATGCGACTTTTAAAAATTTCCACCGACGACATTTAATTTTTTTACAGAGAAATTGTTCAACGAAGCTGTTCGAAAATTTCACTGAATTTTCTTTGTGCTCTCGATAAAATTCAGTGAAATTTTTAAACGGGTTCAACCAACAATGTCTCTCAACCAACAAAAAAAAATAAATAAATAAAATGACGGCGGAAAGTTTTAAACGTCTCATGGTGTTTTTGATACTAAGGCCGGGAGGTGAAGACATTAGGAAATCAGGCGTTCACATTTTGAAAGCATTGCGTTAGTTTAATAAAATTGTTTACCTTATCTTTAAGACTGGAGAATTTTTAAGAATTTTTTTGCTTTTTCCACAAGTGTTGAAATAGCTGATTTCGCAGTTTTTTTCATAATTTTTTCCAGAAGTGGGAAATAGTATAAAAAACATATTTAGAGAAAATGCACTGCCTAGTGACGTCATCTAGCGGCATTTTCCATTTATACACATGTATTTCGGCAGATTTGATCATTTAGCCATCTGCTCTAATAACTTTTCAATGTATGAACAAAGGTTATCCTCGTGTTCAGTAAGATCAGTACTTTCTACTTAAATACAAAATTCATCTAATTTCAGACATCTGCAAACTGTCCATTTCAAGGTAGATTTAAAAAAATAGATCGAAAAAATATAGGTTAAAAGATATGACGATTATTTCCTCTCGCATGGTCACGTCGTACCTTTGTGAATATTTTTTGCTAAACTTTAATGCCGCATACCTAAATCACTGAATAGGTCAATTGCGCTAGCCATAGAATTTTGTCTTGATGCCTCATTTTCTGCATCAGCAGAAAATTATATGACTCGTTCCAACACCAAGTTTTCACGTCCAATATACAAGATTGAAGGGACTTGGAGGACAAGGCGCATACGTGCGGTATTTGAAAAGATTCGAGATATTCATGATTTCAAGTAAAAGTAGTCTCAATGCATATTCGGAAAAAAATTCGCTCCCAAATTCGAATTTTAAAGCATCAAAAAGTCACTTTGAACTCTCTTTCCACCGTGAGGATCCAATAATTTCGAAACATCAAAGACGTATTTCTCGAAATATCAAATCTGCACTTATGCGTTTCGCCCTCCAAGCCCTCTATTTAAGCTTTGAAAAACGCGGCATACGACGTCATCCGCATCACGTGGTGGTGCTTACCGTGGTTTATCCCACTTTGATTGCGTCCATGCATAGATCGTATTCGAAACATCAAACGGGTGAGGTTGTATCGATATCGATTGGTTCAAAACATAAAATAGCCTCAAAAATCAATTGAGTAATCTGACGGAACGGGTTTTCTGCGATGAATTTTTGATTCGTATGAGTCCTGAGTGGCTAAGAGTAGTGGAATTGCTACGAAATTTATCATTTTCAGCTCTTGTTAATTTTGGTTTGAGGTTATGTTCTCAAGTTTTGGACCAAACGATACATCGAATCTCTATCGAACACAATCCACTAGGTCCAGTCATCAGTGCAAATGTGTGTATCCTCAATTGATGATCGCTTGGTGAGAAAATCATGGTATGTACTAACACGGTGGGTGACGCCATGCCTCATAAAACTTATTTTTTGAAGGGCGATACCATGTTGAATATTAGCCATAGAAAATAGGTGGTATGACAAATCGTATTTTTTTCACCAACTAGAGAACTCTGCTGAAAGAAAATAACACGTGGTACTACGAATTTGCAACTTTACCGCGTAATGTAAAAAAAACCTGGGTCATATTTTCAAAATCTGAATATAGTGGGCTCATTAAAAAACTTTTACCTGTCGATAGCCGCAAAAATCATGAAAATCGGCCCGGTAGAATGCTGGAGGTAAGCGTTACCAGATATGTAAATTTAGGAGGTCTTGGAGCTTATACAATATACGATTTCCCATAATCATAAAATAGCAACTTAATTTGAAGAAAGGCTGCCTTACATGAAAGTCGGATCGCTTTTCTCGACCTCGCAATGACAGCGAATCGACAACTCCTTTTTCGTTTATTGATTCCGGTTCAAAATGAAATGTTTAGATTATTTCGAAGTGACTAGGGTTTTTTGATCTCCTTATTTTCACGTGTTGCAGCTTTTCCCAAGATTTAGTTTTTATTTTATCATGTGTTTGGGCTGATTGAGTAGTTCACCATTCCTAATAATAAATTACCATGAAGGAGATTTTTTAACATATTTTTCCATGGAAAACGTCAAAAATTTTACTTTTTACCATGCAGGACGAATTGAACAGTTAATCCACGTGAAGGCGAGACGACCGAAACCGTGATTTCTGTCTCAAAATGCTTCATTTTGTTTATCGTTTCAACTATTTTAATCCATAATCACCGTCGTAATTTGCTCTCTATTTTGTGACAAATTTCCAGGGATCACCCGTCAACTCTGATTACGCTGAGACAACCACGCAATTTTTACCAGGTGGATTAAAGCCTGTGGATACGAATGACGCGAAGGTCCAAGAGCTCGCCATATTCTCCCTCTCCGAGTTAAAAAACTCTCTAGGAACTAGCGAAAATCCCCAAATTGTCAAAGTTACCGAAGCTTATAAACAGGTCAGTCTTATTCACTTGGTGTATTATTTACACACACTCAAAATTATATAGTTGCTTCTATTTGCACATTCCTCTTTTTGGGGGTTTCAGCTATTTTTGTTTAATAAAAAGGAATGATCGATTCAACATTATTTTCAACTAATTCAAATACTCATCCTCATAGCTGATTTTCGTGCCTCTATTTGTGAATATCTTGTATCAAAACCATAAGAATCCACTTTTCAGCATTATGCTATTGAATCGTTGAACATTTCCTCAACTGCATGCTGATTATTACTACATCAAAAAAGGTTGCTGAGCTGTGATTCGGTGTCCAGTTTCAGCTCCTAGAAATAAGGTTGCAATGACTAATTGTGCAGTCAAGGTGATAGCCCTCTTTACCCAACTAAACAGTTTTGTAGTGACAAGAACGAAAACGGGAAGAAACTTTGTGGCATCGAGTATACTACTTAGTCGACTTCCCTGCGATTTCCCGTTTCAAGATAGTTTCAAGCTTCAAATAAACTATGTAATATTGTAACAGAAATACTTGTGGTTCCCACGATTAAACATATTGCATCTATAACTAAATATTCAGAAATCATAACAGAACGGAGGATCCGTTGGATATATTGGTAAAGCTGGACAAATTGTTTGCCGAGAATTTTTTTTATTGTAAATCAATTTGGTAGTAGTATTATGCTAGAAGCTGCATTTGAATGTGTTGACAGTGCATTTGTGTGCCAATACCTTGTACGAGAGGGTGAGTATATAAGCGTGTACGACTAACAATTCCTACCAACAAACTTTCCGAAAACATTTTCGGTATTTAAAATTAGTTAACCGTACAGTGAATGTGTGCTCTTGATGTTGATAGATTGAATACATCCCGGTTTTGTCCTTTTTTCTGAAAATATTAAATTTTCGGAAATCAATTGAGTGTACGCTTATTAATTATAAATCAGTCATTCTAAAAACACGCGTGCAACAGAAATGAGACTTTGTGAAAAGCTGTGCAGACTGTTTTAATCGACCTATTCTAAATTTCGGAGGTAAGCAAAATGAGGGTGTTGAAAGAATAGCACGTATCATGTGAACGTATTTATGCTAAAAGGAACTATGTGCACAGAGTTTGCGTGAGACATAGTTCCTTTTGGCGTAAATACGTTCATGTGATCAAAGTAGAGCTGTAAAAATGGCGTCATGTTACCCCACGTGACGCTACTTATAGAGATCTAGTTTGATCGCATGATACGAGCTATTGCAATTTGAAATCGGATTGTGGTTGTTTTCGAAGTTGTCCCTCAATTTGAATGGGGAAAGAAGAAAAAAAGAAAAATTGGGCTTGCGTCTTTTTGAAAATGAACGGAATTATATCTGTGTATTTTTCCCATTCAAAGCCAAATTTTTAGTATTTCAATCCTAAATTTGCAAGACATATGTTACTTACACTTAGTCTACATAAATTACGTTGATATCTTACTAATGTCTTTGTAACTTTCTTACTGAAGATTGTTTAAAATTGCAAAAACTTACTAAAATCTCGAGAACAGAGACGTATTTGGCTTTTTTTTCTTTTTTTTCTGTTGTTTAATGGCTTTGTGTCAAGCACCTGCAGATTACCATATTAGGCTTAAAAGTACAAATACTCATGCATCCCCTCATTCTTCAAAATTTGAAATAACTGCGTGAGGGATTCGAGTCGTATCCAATGAAGACAGACGACCACTGAACCGCATCAGTCAATCTAAGAAATACTGGACTTTTCAGACGTTTTTCAGGTCTTAAAAATCAGTAGCTTAGCTTGTATTTTTCAACAAGATGCACCTATGCCCAAGCGATACCGAACTACCGAAAACTCAATTCTCGATTTTGTTGGCGCTTAAGTCTCTGAGAAGGACCGATTAAAATAATCCTTCAGTCCAGAATATAAAGCAAGCTCAAAATCTTGCTTTATGAGGAGTATTTTACCTAATTTTTCCTGTTCAATCTGACATGTGTTCTGGAAAATTGATTTCAGATCGTTTCTGGAACGATGTACCACATCACATATGAAGTTTCTATTCCCAACGGAGCCAAGAAATCTTGCACAGTGAAAGTGTGGGAACAGCCCTGGACATCTCAAGGTCCTAAAGTAACCGACGTCGCATGCGATGATACACCATCAAGCTGAGGAAAGGTGAGGTTTTGTATGTTCCTAAAAATCATTAAAGTTGTGAATTTCTTCGATGAAAATTCGTGTTTAAAACATGAGACAAATTTGTCTCTTATATTACTGATAATGTAGAACGGATGGATGATTCATTGAGTTGGAAAAAGGTGTGATAAAATACAAATTTGAGCGCCAGTTTTAAGGGAGGACCCCCTCCCCCCCCCCAAGACCTGCCCGAGACGCTCGCTTCGGATATATTCTGGATATATTTATCCACACAATTTCAAGTCAAATTGTTCCTAAGTTTCTGTTGAAAAAAATCAATACGAGAGAATATTATATATTATGTTATATATGATATATTATCATTTTTTAGTTAGGCTGATATTAGTCAAATCCGTTTAATCGTGAGAGGAAGACACGCCGCCGGTTTTGAATTTGACGCGACGCATCTCACCATAATCAATTTAAGACATTGCCGAGTTTTCAATCATTTTTTTCAACACAAACCAAACAGCATTTTGACTCGTTACTCAGTGAGTATATCGTCAGGGAAAAATCCCAGAAAATTTCAAAGTGTTCGAAAATAAATTCATAGGATGTTCCGATACTTCGTCCATTTACACCGGAAAAAAAAACCACATTGGATCTAGAGTCCAGACTCTTAAAAACATCGACAAGAACAAACACTCTCGATTCAATCAGATTTAAGCTTAAATCAAGAACCCAGCCTCTTAATTTGAGCGGATTTCCTTTTTGATTTAAGCTTGAATCTGATTGAATCAAGAGTCCTTTCTCTTGTCAATGTTTTCAAGAGTCTGGACTCTACATCCAATGTGTTTTTTTTTTTCAGTGTAGTCTTCTTTTTCAAAAATTGACCAACTTGGAATGCAGTTATGTTGATTATGGTAGAAAGTGTCTAATTTATAACAAATGCAATCAATTTTAGCATGCCATCAACTAAGTCAACAAATCCTTTAATTTTCCAGCCCTCAGCTATCTTGGTGACAGATCTCTAACATTTTCAAGATCACCACACATGGACGAGAAACGATCCTTGCGAAAAATACTCAGTTCCTCTAGAAGTGCTGTGATGCTTCTTCAACGATGAATGAATTGGATCCATCAATATTAGACCTATGCGGAGAGTTTCAACTATTCTAGTGTAGAGTTAAGTTGAAATAAATGCCTGTGTTGAAATATTTCAATGTTATAGACTTTATAGAATCAAACTTAACGTAAAGTGTTACTATTTATTTATTTATTCAAATCTTGCTTTCAATTTTAATTTTTGAAATACAATAAAATATGCCTATTTTCGGAAAAGATGTACAAGATTCTTCTGTTACCCCCGTTGAATTAGTCCCTCTAAATCTCCTCTCTTCGATCGAACCAAAAATGGACCGCGTTAGATCAGCTGTTGCAAAATTTAATTGGGCAGTTTAAAATCCTACATGAAAACTGTTGTGTGGATTTTCGTGCGAACTTCAGTGAATTTTCTCCATGGTAAGAAGCAAATTTCTTAAAATTTTTTAAGGAATCCGCAAAACGTTCTTTCGTAAAAACTTAAATTGCCCAGTTAAATTTGTCAATAGCTGATGTAGCTTGGAACCTCTCTGTCAAACGCGGTCCAAATAATGTCAGTGTAAAATTTGCCGTTTAAAATCAAGTATTTGGACTATCTAGGCATCAAATTTTATAAAATTTAATGGACGGAGTTACCCACCGTGGCAACCTTTTGATTGTCCCCGTTTCAGTCACCTTAATTATTCTGGTGTTGCACAATTGAATATTTTTTTCCTCATCATCAACAAGACTAAAGTATGTTGGCAACAGTTGTGTTTCTGCTGCGTGATGAGGTAGTGATTCGCTAGCAAAAGCATTATGTATGAGGTAGTCACAGCAAACTGAGTAATCTAATTTCAGGTACCATCGTATAGGGAAATCGCATTTTTATTCCTCTAGACGAATCCATGACGAAAACAAGCGGACATCAAGATAGAAAAATGTTGCTAAAAGGCTGATTCCACTTTGAGTTCTTGGCAGAAGATAGTATCGTAACGCCTAGAGGCATGCTGTAGCTGTTCCCTTAAAAAAGCTGTAGCTGTTCTCGTATAAAATCTAAGTTAAAGCTGCAAGTACCCGATCGCAATAACAAAATCAATCGATTTGACTGATGTTTGGATTTCATTTTGCAAAAAGGAGCCACCATCATTCCAATGTCGCTAAGATCGCTCAACTTTTTTTCCTTGTAAATATAAACTGATAATCTAAAACAATTTAATCTCAACTCCCAAGAAAGTATATTGTCAAGACGATGATTACTTTTGTAGTTTTAATTTTTTGCGTGATTTCAGTAATTGTATTGCTAAGAATGTAAGTAGCACAATCTTAGCAACATCGGGTTGCTCTTGGTTCCTTATTGAAAAATGCAATCCATTTAGTTTTATTTTAAATTTTCAAAAATAAAATTTTTGGAGACGAACAGCCGGAAGGTGCCTCTAGGCGTGATGGGTCCGATTTTAACCTCAGTTTTGAAGTGAAACCAGTATTGTAGCAATATTAATTTGTTCACTGTTTCAATGTATTGCTCAACTCTTGGTATAAATTCATCTCAATCCTTCCCTAGTGCAGGCCCGATCTAAATCGTTGGAATTTTCTTCATATTTGTTAAAAATTATTCTTCGAAACAATTGAGATCGCACGCGATGAGGCAGGGCAATAACCGCTTCGAGATTTATCAGTATATCGACGGTGAAACTACCAAACCACGTATCTCGTTTGCGGTGTTTAAAAATCTACACTCACATTTAATTTTTTTGAAGATGACCTAATCAATATCATTCCTTGAAATTTTCACGGAATTTTCTCCGCACAAAGAGGAAAAATCACAGAAATTTTCAAGACTGGATGTTAAGTAGTTTTTCATTTAAAAAATAAAGTATGACAGGAAGTCTGCGACGTCGCAAACCGAGATCCGTGGTTTGGTAGTTTCACCGTCGATATTTATTAGACAATTATTAGTGTATTAGGTCCTCTTAACTTTCTCTTTTGTTCTCTCAGTGGACCTAATTAGCGGCTAATCGTCGGTGAAATTGTAAAAATACGCATAGCTCGATTTCGGTGTTTTAAAATCCTGCTCCTATTTTATTTTTTGAACCGAGACTGATACAGCTATATTGCTTGAAAGACTCGCACAATACTCTTCACATAGAGAAAAAAAATCGCCGAGTTTTTATTTTTATACATGCAAAAATGACGTTCAGTAGTTTTCCATGCTGAAAATGAAGTACGACGGGAAGTCTGCAACGCCGTACACCGAGATGGGCATTTCTGCAGTGTCATCACGCAATGCAGAGTGACAGTGAGCACTTTGAAAACACGTCGTTGTACGACTATGCAAATTGTGCGCTGATGATAAGATTTTAGTTTCTTGATCTGCTTACGCCGCGTACCATTTCTACGCACTTTATTTTTATTTCCGAGCGGTGTCTGCACTATTTTGCAACACTGAAACACAATTTTAGCCGCGCAACATCATCCAAGTTTGCCAACAGGTTTTAAAATAAATGTAATTTTTGGAAACAAATGACAAGTTGCAGCAATGAGGGGGATCCGGGCAAGCAGCCTTAAACTTCAAAAATGGATAAGGCACATCCTATGGTTCTGAGGAGGAGAGAGAGGAAAATTGTTGGAGCCAGTTTTTACTCGGAGTACTTAATGCACCAATGTCTTTCCGATTAAAGTTATAGGAAGTGCGCGGATCTTCAAAACTACCAATTCCTTTGCACCAGTTTTGTCCTGGATGGAACTTGCATCGAGAATACAAATGGTGCTATCATAATTGACTTGCTTTTCAACAGATTGTCAGTTTTTCTCTGATACTATAGTTTAAGATACACGTAGATTCAAAACACAGCAGAGGCACACAAGACAAACTGTCACCTAAGGACCAGAGTTGCTCGGGTGAAATGAAAAGTATGAAATATTGAAAATTTCCTTGAAATATTAATGAAATTCTGCAAAGTTGTGAAACATATGAAACACATTTTCTGAGGCTAGGTATGCAACATGCACTATAAAACACCAAAAAGCAAAAACCAGTTGCCTTTCATTTACTTTTGAAAAATAGTTATTAATATTTTTCATTTTTTTCTAAAATTTCATGAAGTATTCCACGTGAAATTTCAAGATTTTATTTTTCATGAAAAATTGCAATCCCGCCAGTGACCACTGCTCTCTGCGGTGTTGCCAAACGCACTGGTGCAAAAATGACAGTGCGCGAAAATGTTACGCAGCCTCTGGCTACCGTGATTCAACGCTCCATATTTTCATGAAGCCTTTTCTTTTCACAGTGGATATCTGTTATGTGCAAAAGGTCCCCACTTTCTCCCGTTTTCAACGAGTTAAGTAACCTAGAAAGATGGTGCGCAGATAATTAAGTCTACTCTTGACATAATTCTAGATTGCAATGTGCATGTTGTGCACAAGCTATTGCCTTACGACCTCACAACAGGCGATAAAGTGGATGAATGGACGTAGTTCTGCCAAACGGAAATATGTGCATTAAGACATAAGCCCTGAGATCCATGAGAATAAATGCATGAAAGGGCTCACGTTATAATGCATATAGTTGCGTTTGGCAGAAATACGTCCAAATGATGAAGTCCGGATCCAATTTTTTTCAACTCGGAGATTGCATCCACTTGTCTATTCCAGCAATTGCGGACTGTGCTTTTAGTTCCGTTCAGTTGTGGAAAGTGCATTTGAAAAGTTATGTGTGTCAACATGATTTCAGCAAAAGGACTAGTTTTTGCGTTGGCACTAGTCTCATTCCAGGTCGAGGTAAGGGTAAACCAGTGAATTAGACACTCAAACTCAAAATACTTCATATTGATTTCATTGATTATTTACACTGCTGAGAATAATAATTTTTTATTTGCCCGTATCAAAGATAAGTTAGAATCAATTTTCACTCAAATGCGATTCGATACCGACTTTCAGATATTTGAAATGGAATCCATTAATGAGACCAAATTTCCTTATCTTAGACTTCAATTGATCGTAAATGACACAAATTGATCGTGAACTACCGTACTTGATTCTGGAGTGCTTTAATTTCGTTTAAGGTGATTCGACGGACGCCATTTTTTGTGTCAGAGCGATGTGCGTTAAATCGCATCGATTCGCTCTATGATTTAAGCTACTCGTCATTTTTTTCGAATTTTGAGATCGCACTTCTGTTGTCATGAGACTGAAGAAGTCGTGTACCTTTGACAAACAAATTCAACGTAATTAAGGCGTGGTTTTTTTTTTTCGTGGAAAAATATCGCACTCGAGTGCGGTTTCGATATCAGTGTCGAATGCTATATTTTTCCTCTGAAAATACTACGATTTTATTAGGTACGTCGAATTGTATGTATGTATGTATAAAGTCGCTTTTATAGCGCTCTTTGGCGCTCTGCGACCCCTAGCCGCCAAAGTCCCCTATCCTCCCAAAGCCCTTCAGGGAGTTGACAAACCCTCATTTCTTCTAAAATCCCCTGTCGCCACCCTTTCACTGGGCGTCCCCTTCGTCTCCTCCCAGGAGGAACCCAATCAAGCAACTTCTTTGGCAGCCTTTCGTCCGTCATTCTATTGACATGACCATACCAGACAAGCTGGCTGGTCATGACGTCGAATTTCTTTGTCAAATTTGGTACATGAATTCTTCAGTCTCATGACAACAGAAGTGCGATCTCAAAATTCGAAAAAAATGACAAGGAGCTGAAATTTTGAAATGAATCGATGCTATATATTGCTCGTCGCTCTAACACAAAAAATGGCGTCCGTCGAATCACCTTAAGTTGGGGCCGTAGTTGACCCGATCCACGAGTTTAATATTTCTCAAAATTTCCTCTACGGAGGAATAGAATATTAATGTTTTCAACAGATTACCTAGACCGCGTTTAATAGAAAGGAACCAAGCCACATCAGATCACATAAATCATTCTGATACATTTTTTAATCCAAACATTACACGTAGAACTCGATTCAGGCAACGAAGATTGCTGAAATTAACTCTTGGTATTTAACGTTTTTTGATACGTGAATTCAAACCTACCGCTCGTGAAAAAACAGCGTGAGTGCAATCGAACCGATGTCGTAACGATCTGTGCGGCATAAAAATACGTCAACCTCAATCTTGTTGCTTTGGCTCAGCTGTTGCAAATTTTTAATACTTTGAACAACACCGGGTGGAGAAAAACACTGATCGATTTATTAAGAAACCTGTTAAGACCGTTGTCGTGCGCAATTTTACTCACGTAGAATGTTGTTTTTATTTGACCGAACTATTCAAATTTCCCGTAGTGAATGTAAAAGAAAAAACGTTTTTATCTTAAATATGAGTTGATTTCAGTAATTTTTGATGCGTGGATTGTGATATAAGAGAAATTTCAGTGAAGAGACACGTATCAAAATGATTTTTGTATCTTGTCTAGTCCATTAAATGCCCTTGACATTTTAGATCCTAATATGATCAACGCTTAAATCTGACCATTTTTGATGACAATGCCACAGGGCCTACCCAAGAAAGCAGACGGATCCGAGAGAAAAAACATCCCGGGTGGATTATCTCCGCGGGATGTAAAAGACGAGAAGATCCAATCGCTTGCCAATTTCTCTTTCTCCGCTGTGAAAACTTCTCTAGGAAGTAATGACGAACTCATACTCGTTAAAGTTACCGAGGCTTACTCTCAGGTGAGGTTTATTCTCAGGCAACAAATGTGTTGTGTGCGTGTGTGATAATTTATGTATGTCGGTGCACAAATGAAAATCTAATCGACTTATCTGTGTATGATTATTAGCATTTTTTTTAGTCCTGTTCGAGTCTTTTTCCTAAGGTTGTGTGGTTTTACCGTTATCGGTTTGGGCCATTGTGGATTTATTTAATATTTTTACTTACGTATCTCTCTAATCTACACAATAGATGCTGGTTGTAGAGCACTTAGTTTCCATTAATATCTTGTTATTAAATGGCCACGAAACTTATATCGTCACCTTCCAGGCAAAGTATCACAAGCGCCATGCGACGTTTAAAAATTTCCGCCGCCATTTTATTTTTTTACAGAGAAATTGTTCAACGAAGCTGTCCGCAAATTTCACTGAATTTTCTTTGTGCTGCCGATAAAATTTAGTGAAATTTCCAAACAGATTCAACCAACAATTTCTAGTAAAGAAATAAAATGAAGGTGACAATATATTCCTAGGAAGAGACGTACGCTTCCAATTTGTATTGATCGACTAGTGTATTAGGACGTAGCCATGGTAAAAGGAACTATGTTGCACGCTAACCCTATGCGCAAAGTTCCTTTTAGCGTATAAACACGTCCAGTGAGTAATTAATTTTGCAGCATAATTTTCTGAAGCTCCTTCGTATTTTCAAAGTTTTGGACCGAGGTATGCACACGCACAGTTTGCTGATCGTGCTGTTAACAATGATATCCAAAAAAGTCTATAATTTATTTTCCTGGTGATTAAATAATTTAGTTAGTTAGTTGTTTTTATTTATAGACATTTAGCATCCTTGGCTATGTACGTCTTTACAAAGAATTTGGGAGATGGATGTATCAAAGATTGAATGTATACGTATAAATATGCCGCTCCATAGGACCCCCTCGCGTTCTATACGACTCCTTAACGCCATTTTCCCTTGTCGGACCACAATCCTTCGGGATTTAAGCACCTCGACACTCATTTCTGATTCGATCCTATCCCTCCATCCTTTTAGGTGAGGCATGAATGATCGATTATCGCTATCTTCGTTTGAAGCTATGGTAAAGAATCGATTATTAAAGTGTTCGTTGCGAACACCCTATTTATCGATCCTTTTCCACACGGAAAAAAAATCCTCGTGCGTGGGACCCGAAGTTTAGGTCATATGGATCACTGAAGTTTTCGGATTGAGCATCTGAACAATTTAGGTCTAGCTGTCGAGGTTCGGATCACACATCTGGAACTCCAAGAATGTTGATGTAAGAACCGAAGTTTTTCGGATGTGAGAACCGAAGTTGTTCAGATGTGAAAACCGAAGTACTTCAGATGTAAGAACTGAAGTTTCAGATGTGTGATCCGAACCTCAGCATCTGGATCTAAAAAGTTCAGATGCTTAATCCGAAAACTTCAGAGATCCATATGACCTAAACTTCGGGTCCCCTGCACGAAGTTTTTTTCTCCGTGCATAGGTTTAAATGGCAGATCAATCGATATATCGCAAAGTACGCCATACCACTAAATTGGATGCATTTAAATTGAAAGGAACCACATCCATTATGGCATGAGCTCCGAGATAAAAAGAATACATGCATAACAGGGCTCGCGTCATAGTGAATATGGCTCCTTTGATTATGATGCGTCCAAATGAATGTGCAAAAATTAAAGTTGGATCCTAGTTGTTATGGTTTAGATTCCTGAGGCAAGCTCTTAATTTGCCGTTGGAAAAGATAGGGACAGTCATACTAATTTTTCTTGTTAACATGAGATTCTCTCTGAATAATTTCTTTCAGGTCGTTGCCGGCAGTCTGTATCACATCACGATGGAGGTATCAACTTCTAAGGGCGTTTCAAAATCTTGCACCGTGAAAGTTCTTGAACAGCTGTGGATCTCTCCCGATCCTAAAGTGACCGAAGTCATATGCGAAGATAAACCATCGAGCTAAGGGATAGGTGTAAGTTAAACCAAAGAAAAGGAAAAGAAGAAAAACAGAATCAACAGTCTAAACTTTTGATAAAACCGCTTTGAAGTATTAAAACCCATGAGATTATTTTGGTTGTACTGTGAATTGGACTTAATTTTGCAAGAAGGATCAGCAATATGTGACTCACCCGTAAAATCACCTATCTGCATTAGAAAACTAAAGGCACTCATGTCCTTTTTCAAATGAGCCAGAAATAGTAGTTCATATCGCGATGGAGGTCTCAACTTCGGAGGGTATTACGAAATTGTGCTCCGTGAAAGTTCTTGGACAGTTCTGGATTTCTCCCGATCCTAAAGTGACGGGAGTCATATGAGGATAAACCATCGGGCTCAAGGGGTAGGTGTAAGTTAAACTTGAAAAAAAAAAAATTAACATTTCAAAATTTTGATAAAACCACTTTGAATGATTAAAACTCGTGAGAGTATTTTGGTTGTACAGTGAATTGGACTTAATTTTGCAAGGAGGAACTGCAATATGTGAAACACTCGTGAAAGCACCTATCTGCATCAGAAAACTAATGGCACTTACGTCGTTTCTCAAATGAGCTAGGAATAGCATTTCCTTATTGCAAAATGCAGACCACTTGCGCTAACAGAGAAAAACTCACCGTATTTCCACACTATTTTCATATTATAAAGTCACGTGTAGAGTATATTTTTCACTTCGTTATAGCGTCCCTTTAAGTATGAATAGGAAGTAGGTACACATTTTTCCTATGCGGGCGCGCTTTTGACTTTATCTCAATGCAGCTCGTGCAGCCAGCCACATATAATGCGCTGTACTTTTCAGTGGTGTATATGCCAAGGCCAACAGTGTAAGTGCAGAAGAGAATTTTAAGCGTGCCAGTAGGGCTCGCTTTTTGAAATCACTTGGATGTACCATAGTACAGCACACCGATAAACCAATGCTATTCAACGGGCCGTCCAAATATTTTTTCCTCGGACCCGTTTTTTTGTCTTTGAACCGTTATACTGCCAAGCCCTGATGGTCTTTTACCAAAAAACTGAATGANTTTTCACTTCGTTATAGCGTCCCTTTAAGTATGAATAGGAAGTAGGTACAAATTTTTCCTATGCGGGCGCGCTTTTGACTTTATCTCAATGCAGCTCGTGCAGCCAGCCACATATAATGCGCTGTACTTTTCAGTGGTGTATATGCCAAGGCCAAGAGTGTAAGTGCAGAAGAGAATTTTTTTGTTTTAATTTAAAAAGATGAAGGTAGTGGAATGAAATGAGTTAAAATCAACCATATTATATTGTAAAAGAATGTTCTAGAACGTTACATAATTTTATTCGAGTTGCCTTAGCGTAATCACTGACTGTGTCATCGGATGATCCCTTTGCTTTCAAGTTTTTTTTTACGTTGACTTACGTTACATTGTATCGACATTAATGGTACTTAATAATTTGAAAACAATCTCTTTCAAGGCTGAAATAAGTACCGTAAAACACTCACAGCGTTTTTCTCAAATTCGGCATTTCCTTTCGAATTAGGAATTGCTATCAAAGGGTCAATATTTTCAAATTTTTGGATGTTTCAATGCAATAAACGATACAAAATTAACCTTTTTAAGCTATGGTGTTGTTATTTCATTCCTTGTCTCCACTTCATAAGACACATTTTGCCTACCTCTAAAACTGTAAGTTTTTCTTAAAAAAAAAAAAAAAAAAAAAAAAAAAAAAAAAAATACCTGGAAGAAAATGTCAACTTTTTTAAATTTTGAAAAATTTCTGTCAAATAACCTTTTAACGGGTAAGAGATAGAAAAACCATATTCATCAGAAACCTATTATCTATTCCTATCAAGGCATTTTAAAACAAACAGTGAAAGCATATCGACAGTACTACCAGATCATGTATCTCGGTTTGCGACGTTGTGTACTTCCTGTCATACTTTATTTTCTACATGGGAAACCACTCACCTTTAATTTTGGAAAACCTCAATAATATATCTTCCCCTTGCGCAGAAAACTCCGTGAAAACTTCAAGGATTGAAATTGATTTGTTCTCCTTCAAAAATAATAAAATTGGAGCAGAGATTTTGAATCACCGCAAACGAGATCCGTAGTCTGATAGTTTCGCCGTCGATATGTAAATGATAAATCATTTTTTTAAAATAAAAACTCACCGCCGTCAATAGAAATTTTTTAGCACTCATTGAATGGATTGCATTTTGCAAAAAAGAACCAAGAGCATTTCAATGTTGCTAGGATTTTGCAATTTACACTATTTGCAATAAAATTACTGAATCATGCAAAAAAATTAAATTTATTAAGGTTATTTTCGTCGTGACTTTGTAGTTTATTGGGACTAAAGTTAGTACTTGTGTAGATGATCATTTTATATTTGCAAGGTAAAAATGGTTGCACAATCTTAGCCACATTGGAATGCTCTCGGTTTCTTTTTGCAAAATGCAATCCAAATGACGTACATTAAGTGGTAACCTCTTTTGAAAAATTGATTAATCATAAACTGTATAAAGAACACGTCGAATTTTCGTACAGCGGTCGATCAGAATCTGGGACCAAAGATAAAAGGCGATCAATGATGAGAGAGTATTCAAGAGACTGCTCCTATCCGTAGAAAAAAAGTTGATGAGTCCAAAGTCGTGCGTTGAAAAAAGTGGTGTTTCGTGACCAGTTTTATCGCTCAATTTTATTTTTATGTGTAAACAGCATCGATTTTAATGCCCAAGACCGTAAAGTCAAGGCTACTTCGAATCACGAAGCATCATTTGACATTTTCTTAATTTCCCTCCAGCGCCACCAAAACTTGACCAATGCCAATTAGTTATGCGATCACTTTTTTCCGACTAATTTTCAGTCGTGTGAATCTTGCAGATGCTTCACTCCAGGAAAAGAAATGCAGCTAAACCGATGCGTGGGACTCATCCACCTTGCGTATCGACCGACCTTGTCATTACATATCGACGGTGAAACAGCAAAAGACTCGCCTTTGCGATGCAACAACTGTTTTTAACTTCCCATATCATAATTTGTTTTATAAATGGACAAATACTCAATGTCATTCTTAACTTCTGACTAAGACTAAAAATCATGAATTTACACTAGTCATTATTGAAGACCAGGGGGTGTGCGCCATTGTCGCTATACGGCCCAACCCCTAGAGGGCGCTTCGCCTTCTCTGAGGCTCGCTTCGTGGGCCCTCGTAAATTTACATATGTAAATAAAGGGGGCTCTTACAAAAAACCCATCTCCTCTCGATAGCTGCCAAAATCATGTAAATCGGCTCGGTAGATATTTAGAGAGAACCGTGACAAAACATAAATATTCACATTGTTTAAATAAAATAATCCATAATTTTTTCAGGTAAAGTAAAAGTAGCTGGGTCATATTTCTAAAATTCGAATGGAGCGGGCCTTGGCTCATCTAGGTACCATCAATTGGACGCTTTAAAATAAAAAGGAACTACATCAATTGTGACATGGACCCTGTCATGTATGTATTCTTATGGATATCAGGGCTCGTATCAGAATGGATATAGTTCCTTTTGATTTAAATGTGTCCAGCCGTCGATCGCCGGAACATCAGGGAAGTCGGCCTTTTAGAACCGTATCCTTATTTTTTGTTCATAAAAGGTGAATAAAATGCTATTCATTGAAAGAAAAAAACGGTAGAACGATAATTGTGACAAGAAATGAAAATCCAGGGTGTCTGAGTGCTAATAGTATAGGTAAAGGTTTTACAATTTGCCCCATTTTAAATGACTTGTGTCCTCCAAAAACATCTGTGTAGTCTAATTTCTTGGATTTATAGGGCAAACCTCCAAATGGGATTGTCATGATGGAGCATAAAAAAAACTGAAAATGATTATGGTTCTCACACTCTATGACTATCAATGCTCAAGCAAAGAAGCGAAAAACTGAATGATGAGCGTAAAGTTCAAAATGTTGGATATAAAGGCAATTATACTAAGGGCGTGGATATAGCTCAATTACTTGGACGTTCCTTTACAGGATTCAAATGATTCATGGGTAAATGAAGAGCATGATTGTGAGCCGAGAAATATGTAAATTTCAGGTCATAAAATGATGATAGATCTGTCAAGGAGGAATCACACCGTAATCAACGATTTTTCTCAGACTTTTTTTCATCAATGCAAATAAACGTGTATTCATTTTTAGCTGTCGTTTTCCTCCACCCTCATCAATCAATTTTTTATATTTATTCTTTAGCTTCTTTCATGAAATCTCTCCAATAGTCTATCGTTTTCGCTAAAAAATGTCGAAGTCTTCTTTTTTCATTCCTATTTTACTAATAGTCCACCTGAGTTTGACCTTTTATCAAGGTGGACAGTCTAATGACTCAATTTTAATAGTATCATCAAACTAATCAGTTTTTTTGCGCGGCATTATAAAATATTAAATAACCTCATAAATAGGCCTCATATTATTAATCGACTGATTAATGAGTCAATGGTCAATGTTTGATCTTCTTGTGTCCAGGCTCACTTGCCACTTACCATATCCACAAACTATCCTCTTCATCGCATTATCGTGCGAATTATTGGATGATTTTTGGGATTTTCCCGTAAGATATTCAGTGAAAGAAGCCGGGAGCTTCGCCCCCCGGTCACTCGCTACGCCAGTAACTTTTGGCTATCATTAATAATTAGAGCACTTCCTTGATGACGATATTTTAAAATATATTTATTACCCGTTATGATTCGTAAATATACGCAGTTATCATTAAAGTGCTCCACAATTAGTTGTGTTCCCTTTAACTGTGAAACACACATGAATCATGTTCAACGTCGCATTTCCAAGGCGCAAAGATACAACTATTTGAACTCTCCGGAATGCGTTAGGTATCACGTCGCATTTGAAGGCGTTTTCAAAACAGCCAAGTTCCGTTATCGGAATAATCGTTTTGCATGGTTCATATTATTTTGTTTCCATTTCTAACCACTTGTTTAATTATAATCCTCCTATAAAAACCACCCATTTGCTAAATACAGTTCTAGCTGAAGCGCACTTAAGCGCACGCATGACTGCAAAAATGTTAACGGAAAACGAAAAGGCCAGCGTACACAGAGGCTATTTCCATTTAAATCTTCTGTCACATTCATACGGCGCAATGATACAACTATTCGAACTCTCCCGAATGCGTGAGGTATCACGCCGCATTTGAAGGCGTTTTCAAATCAGCCAAGTTCCGATACCCGGATTATCGTTTTGTATAGTTCATATGTTCTTTTGTTTTCATTTCTAACCACTTGTTTAGTTATAATCCTCCTATAAAAACCAACCATTTGAAAATAAAATTCTAGCTGAAGCGCACTTCAGCTATGCATTCAGCACTGCAAAAATGTCAAAGGAAATCGACAAGCCCAGCGTGCATGAAGGCAGGCCCGCCACAAGGGGGATACTGGGTCCCTGGCACCGGGAAAAACCGCTACGAATTCACATGCAACCCTCGTTTCGTAAGAAAAACTGAAAAATTTACCCTAAAAATTTCGCAAAAGGTGAATAAATTCTCAGAAACACGCTGGGGCACTTTAGAATTCTTAAATTTTCAAAGTAGTGTACTTCTTGGAAAATTTCTATCTATTTTCAAGATTTTCAGTACAGAGGGATATTTTTAGTAACTGCGTTTCATTTTCTTCCGTCGTCAGATTCTAAGAGTCTCCAGTCTGGGCATCCTCGACTTCAATGGCTCATGGCTCAACTCCCCTGTCATAGACAAACGAAGGGGGAGTCCAAGGGAGCCTGGCCCTCTTAGAACTGAAAATAGTATCATATGCCCCCCCCCCAAAAAATAAAAATTTTCCAGATGTTTTGAATGCAAAAATTTGCAAGTATTTTGTGCTGAAAGTATAAAAAAAAAAACATAATTATTCCGCAGAAATTGATGAATAAATTCTTTACGGAATCTTCAAAATCCGTCCGATTAGTCGTATAAATTCTAAAATTTCTCGGGGGATGCCCCTCAGACCCCCCCCCCTCCGTGCTTGGGGCCCGGATCTTGAAACAGGTACCAGGGCCCAAGATGGGATGTGGCGGGCCCGCATGTTGCAGCTCCGCAGGATTGAAGGCGTTTCAAACTGCGAAGATGTCGTGACTCTTCACCGCCCTGCCGACCCTCGCGAGCGGGACGAACGCTAAAATCGCTGCGACACTTAGACAACGCGTCATTATTTATGACTCCCTTCTACTTTTCACCATAAAAAACAAAAGTAACTATCCTAATACTTACGATTTAGAATCAGGGACCGTGGTTTTTTTCGGTAAAAAGAAAATGAGGAAAATAGGACTAAATAAAATGTCGCGACGAAATTTCCCGTGATTTTAATTATAATCGTTCGTAAAATTATTGTAAATATTTCAGAGAATCTTTGTGTATCTTTTAAAAACTATTGATCAAAATCGAAGCATTAAATGTGGTTTGCAACGTTGCAATTGAAGTAAATAAGTTCCATTTCGCGTGGAATGAACCATCGATATTTGAGTTCGTTTACGGCAAGCGTAACATACAACTATTTGACCACGGGTGTACGCATGTTGTAGAACCTCTATGACGTTCCCGCAAAGCAAGAACCGAGAGGTGTTGGCACATTAGAGCCTAAAAGCTTTAGCTTGAAACAAATCCAGAGTAAATCGTCTTAGTGGTTTCTGAGATCGAAAAGAGGGCAAGCTGTCTAGCGGCAAAGACGACAATACGTCGTTTTCAATTCGAGGTAAATTTTGCAGTACACAAAAAGCCTCAGACTTTTAATTATATCGATCTAAGATAGTGTAATAAACCCATTGAAATTGGCAGCAACTTATTACTTTAAACAAACAGGTTGCAAAAGTCAGAAAATATTTACGTGTCCCATGATTACGAAGTCACAGACCTCTTCTTGTAATTTATTCTTAGAGAAGTAAAGAAGAAGAAGAAAGATAATCACCAGTTTTGCTTGAGATTTTCGGAGAATTGTTTTCATAAATTTAATTGTATGAGCGTAGAAACGTATGATAACTTCGAAGAGTTTCCGTGTTTTTGCCTTTGTCCCCCAGTTGTTAAATCTATCTATCAAACGTATTTGGAGAATATTTCCTGGAGATATTTTAATCAGGTTTTGTCTAATGTCCCGAAACGTTACGTCGAATGTTTTAAGCGCTTTTTGACTTTAGCTACCTTTGTGTCATGCGTTCCGGCCAGAGCGTATGGTAGTAAATTTAAGTTTTTAGTTATTTAGGCGAACGAATAGTTATAAAATTATAAAAAGACAGGTCTAAGGCTTATTGGAGAATTTGTTCATTTCTTCCGTATGTGCGCACCTACTCCTTCCCGATGACTTTGCGGACGAAAATTTGTGTGCCATTTTCACCATCTCAAATACCTTCGATCTAATGAATTAAGTGCAGTTCGTCATCTCCCGGCCAAAGTATCACAAGCGCCATGCGACGTTTCAAAATGTCCGCCGCAATTTTATATTTTTACAGAGAAATTTTTAGATGAATCTGTTTGAAAAATTGTCTTAAAAAGAAAATCGGGAGCACGAAAAAAATTCTGTAAAATTTTTGGACAGCTTCGTCGAACAATTATTGTGTTGAAAAATATGACGGTGGCGGAAATTTTGAAACGTCACATGGCGCTTGTGAAACTTTGGCCGGAAGGTGACTATTTAAGGAATCTGGAGGGTTCATAGGGAAGGCGATGAAATATTTCGTCATTAGAGAGAAGTTTTATTTTGTTGATCGGTGACATTTTTTTTAAACTCTCTCAACATCCCTCTTTTCATACGTCACGTGTATTCGTACCCACGGTTGTCACTTAAAACCGAAGCAATTTGTCGATGAAAGGTCAAAGTGATTCATGGTGATTTTAAGAAGCCAATCAATCTTTCAACAACGCTGTAAAGATGTTTGGAAGAGCAATAACTAGGAGCACCGATCGGCTGTCGGATTGCATATCCGTCTAATTGAAGGAACTTTATGTGCAGAGAAAAAATCAATCAAAATGCGAACCAAGCACTACAAGTAATAGGATGCTTTTAATGCAACATCCTTAGCCGAGCGCTGTTCTCCTCTTCCCTCAATCTTGCTTGAAGATTCCTTAAAGTTCATTTTTAAAAACTAATCATGATATTTGGAAATTAGTCTTTGATTTTCCCTCATATTAGTTTTTTTCAGTAATATTTTACCATCGTCTTAATATTTCATGTATATATCGACGGTGAAACTACCAAACCACGTATATCGTTTTTGGAGTTTAAAAATCTTTGCTCCGATTTAACTTTTTTTAAAAAAGAACATATCAACTTCAGTCCTTGAACTTATTTTCACACAATTTTCCTCGCGAGGAGGGGAAAAATCTAGGATTTTTTAAAGAAATGACGCTGAATAGTTTTTTAATTAAAAAAATAAAGTTTGACAGGAAATCTGCTACAGCACAAACCGACATAAGTGGTTTGGAAGTTTCACCGACGATACGCCTTTTCCTGTTCCATGCGCGGGTGGAAACACCACCAACTGGGGGGAGGTGGGGTAAAGGGAGGCGTCCCCCAAAAAACTCCAAAATTTAAAAGCAGTTTTAGTAAACTTCGTCTCGAAAAAACATTAAATACAAACATCCTTCCTACTTTCTTTTTTCTAAAGTTTTTCTCCTTCTTTTGGGCGTACAGGGGGGGGGGGGGCTGCTGTACGCCCCTGTCCCCTGGATCCGCCTTAGTTTTTTTTTCGTTTATTCAACTCTGAAAAGCGGCTATATGACCCGAATTACGAGTCCATTTTCAATACAATCCATACTAGTTCAGTGGGATGTCCCAACCCGGCCCTTAAAAAAACCATCGTTCTGCTCCAATTGATGATCTACGATATCGCCCGGATTAGAAATCTCACCACGAGTGTTTCTCTCAACGAGGGAGAGATTACTGGCGATGGAAACTTTCATGACCCCTCCATCAGAGGTGATATATTAACTGATAAGTCTTGAATGCGATCATTATATTAAGATAGGATTTAAAAAATTGAGCTCAGTCAATTCTCACTAGTGACCATAACAAGCAAGGCGGTGAACCGGTGAATCATTGTAAGACAAGTGCTTCAAGATGTCGATCAAAATTGTTTTGTTGTCTATTGCTTTCATCTTAGTGTCTGCTCAAGCACAGGTAAAGGAACTATTCATGCCTGATTATTCACGTGAAGCAATATCATTTCTAGTAAGTAAGAAATTAACTGTAAAATTGGGACGGTCTAGTTCTTCAGTCACTTACCGTCAGAATGGCACCCTTTCAAGGGATTTTTGGGGGACATTAATTGCTCGAAGCAATTACATTTCTGGTGAGTAAGAAATTGCACCATATACAGAGCAACCCATTTCAATGCTTTCCAGATGAAGGGAAGTAACTTCATGTTTCTAACGTTGTAAAAGTGACTAAAATAATTCGATTTTTTGACTTCGTAATTTCTCTTCAAAATGTTGCTGATGTTTGCCCGCAAGCAACGGAAAAAAAGATGCGCAATTCCCGGTAAAACCTTGCAAATAAATTGCAACCTTGCTGGTTGCGTTCCCTCGTCTAAAATAGGAATATTTGTCCGATAAATTACTATGCGAAGTGTTGGTGGAGTTCCGCATGCACTTCCCTGCTAAGAAAGACCCCACTATGTAGGAGGAAGGGAGGCTTTTACCGGATGTCTTTTTATTCGAAATGGACCACTAGACAAGGTGCGAATTTCAGCATTTTGATACATGTTTCTTAACTAAAATTTCACGCAGAATACGACGAGCACAACGAAAATTACCGAAATCAACTCCTTACGAAGATATTTAATGATTCTTGATGTGTGAATTCAAACCACCCGCTCATGAAAACTCAATGCTCTGCGTGATTCACATCGCGCGCTAAACGTTATCATGACAGTCTCTTGCGATGAAAAATCTGGCAACCTCAATCTTGACGCTTTGGCTCAGCTATAGCAAATTGCTTATAGTTTGAACAACACATGGTGGGAAATGAACATTGCTCGACTGAAAGGCTTGCTGAAACCATTGTAGTGCGCGATTTGACTCACGTAGAGCTTTGAGTTTCTTGTGAGCGGGCAGTTCAAATTCCTCGTAACCAATGTGAAATAAAAACGTTAAAATCTTTGTTAGAAGTTGGTTTCAGTAATTTTCGTTGTGTGAATCATGTTCTACGTGAAATTCTGGTCAAGAAACAAATATCAGATCGCTTAAATTCGTACCTTGTCTAGTGGTCCATTCTTACTTTACGCGTTCAGAGGAACTGTATCGTACCAAAATCGTAACTCAAATTGGAATACATAGGTATTTAAGTATGAGGTATTGGGGTCGTTCCATGAAACGTCGTGCACCCAGGCCAAAGTTAAAATATATATTCTCTGGAAGGCAGTTCTTCATCGTCACCGTGCTCTGCCTTGTAAGCAGGGCAGTGCAGAACTTTCTCGGTTTCTGTTAACTGCAAAAATCACACTTTCACAAGGGATATTCTTGTAATCTAAGATTTTGAGTTTTTAAAATGTAAGTCTATCACAAATGTTCCATTTTTAAATGAAAGATCAATTCGAACGGCTCTTCAAGCGTGATTAATTACAATCCTGCCGTGCCAAGGAAACATGCCACAAATCACTAATTTCCAGGAAAATTTTTGAATATTTTCTCCAATTTCTCAGATAATTGTGTTTTAATTTCATCTAAAGTGTCTGAAAATTTCAAGGGAATAAGTTCATAATTTTCCTCAAAAATATACACATTCAATCCAAGAAAATGCGACAACTCTCGAATGTTCACACGACGTTCTTCCTTAATGGACCAGTTGTGGTGGTCGCAGAATCGTATGCTGATGATTTGGAATTATGGATTCGTAAAAAATAATAATTCATAAAAAATAAATAGATGTGTGATTTGTGTAAATTTCTCCACCTTCAATGACTGAAAAATCCCACCAGTGAAAACAACGCGGAATTATATTGGAATTTTTATTTAATAGCCAACTATAACTATATCTACTCTCTCATTTACAGGGTTTATCAAATGAAGACAATCAAAAACCACCAGTCCTAGGTGCGCCAGAACTTATTAGTGTTGACGACGCAAAGATCCAAGAACTTTCCAAAGTGGCCCTCGCTAATTTGCAAACCTCTGCAGGAGGGAACGATAAACTTAGTCTAGTTAAAATCCACAAAGCCTCCAAGCAGGTGAGACAACCTTTGAAGCATTTGAACCCAACATGGAATGAATTATGTTAAAATTTCGTGCTTATTTTTGTTAAAAAAGTGTAATTTCCTTTGAAATCCGCTACCTATTAGCCCCCTCCTCCCGATAATGGATTCCAGGGTGATCATTTATAACCGTTTTTGGGAGTTTTTTATTCTTTCCAGATATTTCGGCTGCTTTTATCTTCTCGCGGGGATTTATCTGTTTAATTTATGTTCACGGCCGTTCTTGACCAAGATTCGCTACTTCCCGATATCATTTAATAGTTTAGCTAATTTTCGACTACTTTTGGATCTTTTTATCTATTTCCAGCTAATTAAGATTATATTTAGCTTTTCTCCAATATCTGTAGCACTTTTAAGCTATGCTCACTTATATTTGGACGTATTTATGCTAAAAGGAGATGTAAGCAAGTGGAAAGATGGGGTGTGCTCGTTAGTTGGGTCATAAGAAACAATGTAAAAGTGGATATAGCTCCTTTGGAGAAAATTGAAAAGCGGGATTTGACATTAAATCAAAAGGAGCTAAGCGCCAAAATATGCTAACTCATGAGCCGCGGGCATGGCAAGAGAGCGTTGTGGACAGGGCTCATGAGTTAAAGACGCCGTACGGCGATCCCGATCCCGAAACCGTCACCGCACTCACCGCTGACGTCACTGGCGCTTTATAATCCCCATTCATTCTTATGGCCCGACCACTAACGAGCACACCCCATCTTTCCACTTCCACATATCTCCTTTTCGCATAAATACGTCCATTTGGCTATAGGCTGACCTCTTTATGACCCTCTCCCTCCTATCTCTTCATGACGTTTTCAATCTTGGAGTGGTCGATGACGTAGTTAACAACCTGTTACAAAGACGATCATCGATTTAATTTTTGCGCTCGATGACATCATCAACTAATCATTCGTTTAAAGTCATAATTAGAAATCTGAGTATATGTTACAAACGAATGATATCGATGACGTCACCAACAGATGATTCAGACAACGTTATTCCTCCGAACCTTTCATTTTTCCTCTTCGATATAATAGGAATTTTTTGACAAATTTAAGAACATTTTTGTTCAAGCTCTTCAGAATTTTTTTTTCGTAACTTAATCTAAGCACAGTGGAACTCTCATTTTTCGACACTCGATTATCCGACCTCAGCATTATCCCACACAGTGGCAACGGTGCATTTCCACTCACTAAAAATATGCAGTACAGGAAAATGACCTTTTTCCGTGTTATATTCGTCATACAGGGTCTTCAAAGAGTTCAGCTCCTCCTCCTCCACCCCCCTTAACTTTTGAACGGTTGCACTTAACCAAGTGAAAATTTTACTGTGTTCCTAGCTCAGTAGGAACTAATTTTAGGCATTTTTAAAAATTCGAGGCGGCGTCTCCGGACTACTGGGCGGAATCCAACTCCCAATTTCCGAATATCGACCCCCATTTCTGATGGCATTTTCAGAAAGAAGATAAAGAAGAATATTTTTGAGCTAAAATGGAGGGCCCTACAATTTTTTTTTTCGCCAAGCTATTTGCAATCAAAGTTTTAAGTTGGTCTGTTTTCAAAAAATCGTGTGCGCCGATTGAAAAATCCTAGAAAACCAAACTTGTGCTTCAAATGCTCAGAATTACAAGCAAATTCAAGAAAAATTGCAACTTTTGACTTTAAGGGTTGCAGACCGTCCCCCTAGTTACTTTCTGGATCGTGCTCCTCCCCCTCCCTCCATGTAACTTTGGAACACGAAACGTCCCGGGTTTTTTTTATTATTTTATTTTATGTGCCCTTTTTATTATGTGCGGCCTTAGTCCCGATTTCAGTTGTTTCTTTGTTAACTTTGGAATGTTTGCACCTAGCCCAATGATACCTCGACAGTGTTGGTAAGTCTTCGGTGTCTACTCTTGAGCACACTCAAACTTTCGGGGCAGCGCCCAGGTAGACCAAAAATAATTTTTATTTGTGGTTTACCTAGTGACATACACCTAGTATCATACACTTGCCAAAATTTGAAAATCACAGGGCAAGATAGCACAATCTTATTTGTTCCTTAATATCATATAGTAGGCGTGTTTTAGGTTTTGAAATCGAGTCTTAAAGCACATCGGATTATTCGACATTTCCGGTTTATGACAACCTGGCCTGGACTGTCGGATAATCGGGATTCCACCCGAAATGTGAAAATTTACATGAAAACCTTTATCGAACCTTTCAATGATAACTTTTAACCTTTTAACCTCGCAATAAACGTTTTGATCGGAAAAAATCTGGCAATATTCGAATGTTCATACGATGTTTATCCTTACCGTGGCAGTATTATCCAAGAATATGCTAAATGCTATCAGGATTCATTTCATCGAAAAGGCCTCTGGGGTCCAACTACCATGTTCTGAATGCGGCTTTTTGTACAAAAATGATTAACTAATAAAGAGGCGTATAACCTCCAAACCTACGTCCGTCCATTCGTATACTTCTCTAATTTGTAATGTATGTGATTCCAGGTTGTTGCCGGTATGAAATATGATTTGACCATGGAAGTATCTAACAGTAAAAATGAATCGAAAAAGTGTGAGGTGCAAATCGTTGAGCAACCATGGATCTCTTCAGACCCCAAAGTCATTTCTGCCAGTTGCGAAAACAAACCACTTGCCGTTTAATAAAGACGCCTAATCTTAAACTGATTTCAAACAATGTCACGATTAAACTTTTTCCAAACAAGAACACGTACGATAGCTGTATTGACAGGGTATTTCTTTTTAAACCCGGAGCCCTTTTTAATTGATAAAAATATAACAATAGAAACATGTCACTGGAAAGTCGTAGGTGTCATTTGAAAAATAATATCCTCAACAATCATTTTTGCACAGCTTGGCAGTTGGCACACAACGAGCTCATTTAACTTTTGCAGTTAATCAAACAGTCTCAGTTGATTATTGATGATCTACAGTTCGTCTCGCCAAGCGGTAAGGGTTCACTGGTAATCTCAGATCAACAAACAGCCGAAATTCATCCAAAGTCGGAAGTTTATCAAAAGTTGGAGGTTCATCAAAGCTCGTCAAAGCCACGACCAATATTCTCCAGTTTCTGAAACTTTCGATGGACGTATACTCGATCCTGATACATAATCAACTCTTGAATTTTCTTATCTCAAGTTTTTTGATAAATAATGCATTTTTTTGGAGTGTTTCCTCTCTATCAAAGCATTTTTGCCTCAAATTATTTTTTTATTATGCACTAGTTTTATCGTTTGCCCTACCTCTGACTTTACGCGAAATATCGCGGCTATTTGGGACCTGATACAGATGTAGTGCCCAATGTGGGGTGTCAAATCTATGAAATTTTCGAAATTCAAAAGATAGCTTGGTCTCAAAAGTCCCATAAAATTTCGTCATCTCCAAGACGAGCGTGCCTTTATTTCAACAAAGTCAAATTCCGTTTCTTAGTTTCATTTTTCTTCGGAAACTAAAGGGACATATTTTCGGAAAATTTCACAGGATTTTTCGTGGATTGCCGTAAAAACTCAGCGAAGTTTTGGACAGAAATTGTGGTGTCACTCATGTGCATGTGAAGAAAAAGTATTGTGTAACCTACCTATGCATATAGAAGCAGTAATAAATATAATCTGGAGTTTCTAAATGTATTTTTCCAAATATAAGTAATATGTATGATGACTTCAAACAATAAACCTTACAATACCAGTACTTACAGCATGAGTTATTCATAATCTTGCAAATACTTCAAACTCACAAGCCTCCTTACTAATTAAATGAGAAATAATACCAACACCTGGGAAGATTAATACGTAAACCTCTGGATGTCCAAATTAATTTGTTCTTATTTTCTATCTTTTGGTTTTTTTGGGGTGTACAAAAATTTAAATAAAAATATGAAAAAATTGAAAAAAGTAAGAATTAAAAAATAAATAATAATAATAAATGTTGGTATAAAACAAGATCACCTCCACTCAGTGGAACGTATCTCGTTTTTCTGGTCTGAGAAACTACGAGTAGTATGATTTTTTATCAAATGGGCAACGGAGAGCGCGGGATTAGCCCTTGTGGGCTACTTGAAGTGGTTAAAAAAAAAAAAAAAAAAAAAAAAAAAACTAGTCGCGCTTTACGGTAGGTATATTGCTTATGCGGCAAAATTGAAGGCGAACTTTAAATGAACATTGGTCTCCAATACGTTCCCAGCATCGTTTATAGGTTCAAGTAAAGCCTATGAAGCTGTACAAACATTTGCATTTTAGGTAATTACACAAGCCTCCTGATATGTAATCGTTTATTCGGTGGAAACGAAAGTAAATCTTAAGTCGTGGTGGGTATCTCCCGACATAGTTTCACGCCTTATTTGTCGATTTTGCCGAAATTAATGAAGCGAAATAGATGTGTGCTTTGCGTATTGATAACTATTCGCACTCGATGGTTTGTTGCCTACAATTCAAAGAGCCTCGCCAAAAAGTGGTGTTTTTTCGCCCCTTTTTTTATACCCGAGTTGGTCAACCGGACAATGCTCAAATGAAAGCCTATGGTAAGGCAAACTTCCATGCAAAGTTTCAACTTGAAGTGACCCCTGGTTTAGGCTGTACAGCGTTGCCAATTTTCCAGTTTCATGTGCTAAAATCAAGGATATTGGACTATTAGTCCGGTGCATAAGTAGACTAGTATACCCGAGTTGGTCAACGAAACAAGGCTCAAACGAAAGCTTATGGTAAGGCAAACTTCTAGGAAAAGTTTCAACTTGAAGTGAAACCTCGTTTAGGCTGTACAGCGTTGCCAATTTTCCATTTTTATGCGCTAAACTCACGAAATACTGAATCATCATCGTTCAACAGACTAGTATACCTACCCGAGTTGGTCAACGAGACAAGGCTCAAACGAAAGCTTATGGTAAGGCAAACTTCCGGGAAAAGTTTCAACTTGAAGTGAAACCTCGTTTAGGCTGTACAGCGT